ATGGTATTTTAGACATGGAAGGTAAAGGAACACAGCGTGCTCCCATCCGAATGGGGCAATGGAGAGATGGAAGAGGACTCTGGAAGACTGCAGAGTTCATGACATTATGCCACAGCAGAAGTCCAATCTGATCATTACAGAGCCATGCAATAATGGACCTCTACCCATTAAAAAGAGATGCACTGAAATTGCCTTTGGCTTTTTTTTCTTGGCATAGTGGCGGATATGAATAATATGTGATTGTGCTGCGGGGGCGTTTGTTGCAAAAGCAGCAGGTAATACAAAGAAATGAAAAGGCTCAAAAAGGAAGGATTAGTGCTTTTATTGCCTATTCATGCTGGCTGAGGACACACTATATTAAAGCCTGTGAGTCGAGATATGCAATCAACAAGGTTGGTTCAGCAGGAAGACAAGCTCCGGCATACTAAACACAAGAGGTGTTAAAAACGTATTCATCTGTACAGATCAAAGGAGTATCTTTGTTTTAGAGGGTGATTCAAATATTGTGGGGATGGACATGCTGCGGGCTTGTTTCTATTTGATATCATAATGTACTACATTCTGAGTTTATTATTACGATTTTTGGTATTTGGAATGTTTGAATAAAATTTGCCCAGAAGGTGGCACTGAAAATCCCATTGGGTCCTAAAATATTTTAAGGCTCCGGCCGCGAACTTCACAGCACTTTGCCACCTCAACTGACAGCCGGAGCTAACTGTCCTCAGTGAATCAGGGTCTTCGGCAATGTCGGCAACTCTTGAAAATCATAACTCGTTTGCTATGCTTTGTTTAGGATTAAATTCTTTACTGGAGCAGAAAGTTCTTCATAGATCCGGCATTTTAGTTTTGCCCTAAAAGTGCACCAGATTGACGCAGTTCACCTTAAACACATTTAGGCAACTGAACCCTTTCGTTGACCCATCCCTGTATAGCAGTGGATTGTTATACGGCCATTAGGGGTCAAGGGTTCAGTGTCTTGCTCAGGGACACCTCGACACATGACACGCCCCGGCCAAAGATCGAACCGTCGACCTTGCAGTTACCAGACAACCCTCTTAACCCAGTGAGCCACGGTAGCACTTCAACAACATTGTAGGACACCAACACCGGTCTCCTGGTAGAAAGTCCTGTGTTTGTTTGACGCACCCTCCCTCCCTTTTTACCTACGTGTTTTTATTCAGTCTTTATACAACATCATCACACTCCAGCATTTGCTCCGAGCGTGTAATAATGATGCACTTTGTAGTTAATTGAATAGAAAATATAAACAGTATTTTACCTGCTTTACCCTTGCAGTTGAAGAATGTCACAACATCCAGTTGAAAGGTCAGCAAAATTAGAACAGACAAATCAAGTCAACCTACAGTCAGGGATTTATGGTGTTGGACACCCATTTATCTTTTTTTAGTTTAATCGGTGAGGCTTATCGCTAAATTACTGCTTCATCATCGTCATTCCAGCACGAAGGTTTTAGTTGCTTAGCAACGGCAGGAGCAACAGTAGCGCAACCATCCTAAACACCTTTGATAAATTGATGAAAGCGGCACAGCTTGCGTTTTCCATGAGTTTTTTGACGCAACATGGAAACGGCCCCAAAGGGTGCTGTGCGTCGGACGTCAAGGAATGCAAAGCAGCGATATTGGACGCCTTGGGAATAAGAACGAGCTGGATATTTGGTCATATTGGTGATCAAAGAGTGCTGTAATTGTAATGCACATTGCCAAGGTGCTATACAAGTCAGTCTTTGGAAAAAAAATGGTCCTGACCAGAGACGCAGTAAAACAATGAATGTATCAGTCCATGGGTCAACCTCATTCTGATCTTTAGTGGGTGAGTGTAAACATGTGTTCCTCTGCCTTCTTCAACTTGCCAAAGTAGTCGCTGTATTTAGTCAATTAGCTCAATTCCCTCACATAACCTCCTGCTCTTGTTGAGTTCAAAAGGTAATTCTCTACACGCTCAAATGGTGCAGTAACTATCAGAGGCCATCACAACATGAAACACTGAGTCTTTACCCACATCTCTGAACCGGCTCAAGTCTTTTCACTCTCACAACCCCAAAACAATCAATAGCACTCTCACTGTTATTGGCCAGTTGCAAATATATGAGGGTAATTATGTGGTGATAACAAATATTTTGGACCATCCAGTTCATTAAACATGTTCCGTCTCATCCCAATAACTTCTGTGTATTGGCATTCTTTAAATGAAGCCTTGTTGTTAGCAGTGTAAACTATTAGACCAGTAGTCCTTGGTAACACCGGGGGCTTGTTGAGCCGTCGCGTAACGTTCTGTCAAGCCTGTGTGCAGAGTAACAATACGAACACAAGTCAGTCCCTCCGTTGAGCTCAGGATGATTCAGCAAGATGGGCATTTAGTGTTTTATTTCTTCTTGTGTACAGTTACAAACTAAAAGTGCAGCCTTCTTATTACAAAAAATTGGGGATGCATATCTATTTTTGCCAACATTTGAAATGCTTGCTATTCCTCAAATTGGTTCTTGACTGCAAATTACTACAAGTATTAATGTCAAGCTAGTAAAAGCATGTGCAGATGTCAGGGTAATATGCCTGGTGCTTTGGCTGATGTTCTTTTTCAGTTAATTTCCGGATGCAAACATCAAGTGGCACAGGAATTTGGAGAGCAGGAGCTTTTTAGATGGTGATTGTCTGTTAATCTATGACAGGATCACTGATGATACTTAAAATATGATACGACACAAACACCATTTTGACTGATAAGAGTTGTCTGTCAGATAGTCTTCAAACTTTTACACTGTACTGTGATAAAAAACAGATGAGGTGCTAACCATTTAAAAAAATCTCTATTAAAACTATATCATTACAACTGAAACGTGCATTAAATGTATACTACCTTCAGGTTTATACAGATATTAGTAACATTCGAGCCAAACAAGGCTTTGCTGCATTATGGAAGCTCAATTTTGGCTGCGAAATTGAAGTCCAAACCATTTACTGAGAATAGCCTCATACTAAACTAGATAGCGATCAGATGAAACCTGGCTTGCCATCGCTTAAAACTTAAAGATATATTTCAACATTTTGGGAAACCCTTTTTTTTTTTAGCTCATGGCCGCCGCTCTGCACTGCGCTTATATGGTGGTAATCGATTATAACGTTGTCCCGACCCGCGGTGTTGTCACGGAAGTGTAGTGCCCCCCTCCCCTAGGGGGAACACCGTTAGCTTTGTCAGCTGTTAGCGCCGTTAGTGGCTAGCCACTGGCTGAGCAGTCTCCATGGTAAAGGCTATGTGGAGGCATTAGAAATACTCTGAATTCCATATTGAGCACCTTTTAAACAGAAATGTAAAAAAGTTTTGAGTGCTGGAACAATTTCTTGGCAAACAACAGCTGGATTCAGTGACAGAAAGATTTCAAGTTTTGTTACCATTGTGTCTAGACAAAAGACACCTGTGCTCACCAACCTCATCTGGCAAACTGCGCCATAGCCAGAGGCTGGGCGGATAGTTCGTCAGGAAATGGTAACAGCAGATAGCTGGGCTTGGAGGCTACACATTTTAACAAAAAACCTGAATCACAACTCCAATGCATAGAGTTAGAAAGATGTGGGTGGTTATTTGGCAGGAGGTGTTCAATGAAAGACAAAAATTATTGAATTATGGGAAGTTAAGGTTTTTGGAGCTTGTCTAATAGGGACTTAAAGTTAAGATATCTTGGCCTCTGCTGCTTTGATTTGGCCAACAGTACTTTTTATTTTATTTCTTAAGAAAAATAAACCAAACATTTACTTGTTTATTTTACCAATAAAATAAATAAGTAATTAAATGAATAAATGAACTTGCACCTTTTGTGTAGTTTGTGTTGTAGCGTAGGTTTCTCTCACAACTCTTCAAAATATACGTTGGGCTCCAGACGGGAGAATAATAAAATTCCACCCTGTCAATTTAATAAAAAATTATGACTGCGAACAGTTGGAGAGATAACTAACCCGACTAGCCTGCTAACCCGGCTACAAAATGCAAAGTAAGCAAAAATCAACCAATTTCATGTAAGTCAATTATATTTTACTCAACAATCATAAATCAAATCAAAACAGATACTTTCTTTCTCAACACAGAATTATACACACAAAGGTTCATTAAATCAAATACACCACATGGCCGAGTCCAGATATAGTAATCAAATGTCCTTTTAATGACAAAAATGTATGTGCACTCCAGGTAAATGTCAATAGTTTATGGCCAAGTGATGAGGTGTGAGTGGCATGCGTGTGTGAGTGTGTGTGTGTTGGGGGTTGTAGTTCTGTTCCTAGCTAAGGGAATATATGGCAGTTCATTTCAGTTCCGTTCAGTTCAGTTTATTTCAGTTCCATTCAGTTCAGTTTATTTGAGGGTGCGTAAGTGTGCTGGGAGAATAAGAAGGAGAAGCCTGGAGAGTTTCATGTTAAAGGGACTTATCTTGATGAATCCCCGATGTTAAGGAGGCCCCAAACTGGTCCAAGCTGTAGCAGAACACGATTCCTTGTTCCACCACCTGCCCCCGGGATCAGCACACCTCCAGTAAGGCCTGGTCCTCCAAGAAAGCTCTGTGTATTCAGTTGGGTCATGGATCCTTGCTGCTCCGATTTGGTATAGTCTTTGTCGACATTTTCTTAGTTTAAGCTTAACAGGTCCAGAAACTGAATTATACTTTCGGTAACTTCATTAAAGCTCTCACCCCTCTCTTTGTTCCTCCATGCAGTTGTGGTGAGTCGATTGTTTTTTCCCTTCCCCCCAGCTCACAGGTGTGTCTCATTTATAGCCTCTCTTGCCCCACCTTCTTTTCCTGTCAGGTTGGAAAAGGGCTATTCTGTGCATTTCTGTTCTGCTACAGTGTGATTTAACAATGTGTGGGTTATACAGTTTAAGCATGAACTTGAATCAATTGCCGTGACATGCTGTGGTGCCACCTGACCACATTGTTGTAAATTCTTGGAATAGAAGTGACCCATTAACAATCAATCATCTCTTTGTTTCCTCAGACAGCATTGAAGATTACATCCAGACTACGTCGTCCAACGTGGAATCAGCCAATCAGGAGCTTGCAAAGGCCAACCAGTACCAGGTACAATAAAGCGCCCCAACTGCAGTGTGTTCCATGCTTTGCATTCACTTTGATCCGTTTTAATTTTGTGTACTTGACTGAGCTTTTGCATTGTAATGCAGTAGCAAGAAGCTTAGCTTGATCAGCCATGCAAACAGAGACTTTGCTAACTAGATTACACAGCTTTATCACATCCCCCACTAGCATAATAACAGAGGTGATGTAATTTCATGTCATACTTTACTAGCTTTTGCCTCAGTTAAATTAATTGTATATAGAGACCAAAAAATTAACATAGTTGCCTGGAGTCTGGAGAAAACACAAAACCACATATGTAATTCCAATTCCATGAGCAAGTCTCACTTCTACTGAGATAATGGTTATAAACCTGCAATTTTGTCCTACAAGTGTATTGACTAAGAGAGGGAAATGCATTAATGGGCAAATAACTGCAGCCAAAAATTAAATAGGATGTTTTTTTTTATGGGTTTTTTGGCGGTGGCTTGAATTTCCACTTCACAGCACATATTGGAGAAACGCTTTATGAGATGCCCAAGGGTCTGCTTTTGCTCTTTATTTTCAAGGGAAATGTTGTGTCTTCTGCCATTCTGTCAGGGACTATCTCAGTAGGCCAAAGCTCAGAGTGGCGCTGTGCTGTGTAGGCCCCTGGCTATCGTAAATAATGTATTGACTTTAGTGTCACTGGGTTAATAAAGGATCTACCTTTTTTAACGTGAGTAGCATAGCTATAGATCTGCTTCTGAACTCTTCACTTCAGCCATGGAAAAGGCTGTATCTTGTTGTGATTTTGGACATTTAGACCTTCAATAAACAATTCTGAAGACCATTTTAATCTGATACCAAAATCATGTTTTATTTGAATCAGATTTGGGCCATGGACTCAACTTTGTTTGTTCTATATGCATGGATTTCCAACGCCATATCAGCAGCTATTCAATATAAAAACAATTGCTGGGCAGTTTGCAGAGTCTGTCATGACTGCAGTGGTCTCTGTCTGTCCCCCAATACTGCTGCTCTACTAGTGAGTGAACAAATGAATGAATGGCAACAGCTTTCCCATTAATTGTCATTTCATTATCTCAAGGAGAGCTGAGCCGTGACCAAGCTCACACTGAGCAATTTAGCTCTCCGCCAATCCAGACAGCCGCTGTCTTTGCAGAGGCAGAGCAGCTGAAAAAAAGAAAAAACAACAAAGGAGGAGACAGAGAGACAGGCATAAAGTCAGACAGACAGACAGAAAGACAGCATGATGAACCACGTGCGGATTCTACACAGTCTCATGTTGACATCAAAACGGATCCCTCTTTTTTGTGCCGAACACTGTCAAAGTTAGATACTTTATACCTGTTACATAGAGAACAGGTATAGACCACCTCTTCTTGCTCCCAATACATCAAATACCACAGCTTGGTCAGTGCCATGCCGATGCCATGCACCGGGCTTTCAACTAACTCCAATGTCAACACACCTGCATCCTTATTAGACGCTCAGAGCAACTGATAAAGTGTGAGATAGTCCACACGGTGTGGGTAGAAGGTAAAGTGGACGGGTGAAACTGATACGACTGGATATTCAATGTCAAAAAATCAGACTTTAGTCTGTCAAGTTAACATCAACAAGGCTTCTTTACAAAACCTAACTAAGTGGCCTCAACCTAAATTTCCTGTGTAGACGGAAGTTTACTTTTAAGGGACAATTTGCATGTAACGAGCATATGTTGAAAAAACGTCCCTGACACATCCAAAACTGGAGGGGGCGACTATCCCCGTCAATGCTTAGGAACACCGACCAAGCTGTGGTATTTGATAGCGTGAGAATGTGTCGATCAGGGACGTTGGTCACTTTCCGCTCATTACATGCATACAGTTTTTTTTCAAAATAAAGTCCCAACATATTTGTTTCCTTATTTTTTATTTTGGTTTAGGTAATAATACTAATAAAGTAAGTTAGTAAAATGGAAACATTGCGGTTGGGGTTAAAAAAAGTATGTTTGTTGTGTAAAATAAGTACACTAGTCACATGGCATTAAGTAAGTAAGTTACTGTACCAAAACAAAGTAAAATGAATTCAACCTTTACTTGGTTTCACACCAATTCCTATTCCTGTGTGTGTTTGACACATCCAAACTCCCTCCCACCCGCCCTGTGTTGACTGTGTCGAATACTGACACACATTGGTTTCCATTGGAGTTAGTTGAAATGCCGGTGCTTCTCACACAGAGGATAAAGGGGGCCTCTGTGTTATGATTTTAGCCACAGAGGGGGCCTGACCAACCGTTTGTATTTGATGAGTTGGGAGTGAAAACGGGTCGGTACAGAACCACATTATAAATATATATAAATATTAGTGCTGGGCAGCGATTAAAATATTTAATCGTGATTAATCGCATGGATTTTTTGTGATTAATCGCGATTAATCGCATTGTTATGGCAAAGTTCAATAATGAATTCAAAAGTAGTGTATTGCGCAGTTTTATTTTAAAAGTACTGCTATATGAACAAAAGTGCAATAACATTTGGTTCACGAGATGCAGGTAGCATGTTTTATACTTAATGTGAATGTAATTCATACTTTGTTGGCATCTTATTCTGAAAACCGGATGTTCGTCTGAAGAAAACGGATGTTGTCTCACGTTAATGTTTCCGCTAACTTTCAAAGTCCTTCGCTCGCTCCCGATCTGTGCCGTTTAAATGCGTTTACCGTGAATTTCAGCATATAGGTGCACTAAAATGTAAGTGTCTGCTGAGTTGACCACGGAGATCTGAGTGTCTGCTGACTTTACCGCAGCGATGTCCAGTAGTCTCCAGGGAGAGCAACAGCTGGTGCAGCTTCTCTCTTTATTTCTGCCCCCCCTCGACCAGAAGCGGAAGCCGCCTTTTCTCTATGGCAACCCTAAAGGGACATCATATATCCAATACAAAACGATAAACATTTAGATAGTCTGTTACAATAATAATAAATTAAAAATACTTACCTGTTTTTTTTTTGTTTTTTTGTTGTTGTTTTATTATTATTATTATTTTTTTCCCATCTCAAAAGGCTCAAGGACATACACACACACGTTCACACACACACACACACACACACGCACACACACACACCTACATACACAACTGACTATAGGATTTGCTGGCTTTTATCCCACTGTTCTTGTCATCCTCTTGTTATGTCTATGTATTGTCTTGTCTTTCAATAAAAAAAATAAAATAAATAATAATAATAATGAATTTAAAAGATGCGTTAACGCGCGATAAAATAATTGTCGGCGTTAATTAATTAACGCGTTAACTTGCCCAGCACTAATAAATATATATCTCTGTGCATGGCTGTAGTCCACTCAAATCTTAAAATTGTTCCCAAACCGAAATACCATGCTGCTTGACCCAACAATGTTCAAACTACAGTGTGTGAAAGGAAGATATTGTATGTTCAGCAGACATTTTACCTTCTGTCATTTCTTTCATACCAACTGACACTTTAATTGTGTACAATACACACACCCGCATTGTCTTTAGTATTTCTACTTCAAGCTGACATTTAGCAGTTACACATGTTTCATGACCTTTCCATGACACGAACACAAACAACACTTTGCTGTTTTCATTGCTGTATTGTACTTCAACTGAAACTTCAACTGGTTCTATCACTTACTCTTTAGTACTGTTTGAGTTTCCACTTCAACTGAAATGTGGTGTGCTTCCTGACTGACTGACTGACACTTGTAATACTGCTTTCACGTATTAATTATCATCTGCTTGCAACTTTTACTTTTCATACTCGTTGGCCAACACTTTAACTGCTTTCAGTGCCTGCACTTTAATTTACATGTAAGTAGATTCAGTCAACTGACAATTCAACTGCTTTGCAACTGCTTTGTATAAGTGTACGGTAATACATGTCAGTGTTTGCATGCCCACTTACCTATTTGACAGATTCAGCACTTACTCTTCAACTAATATGATACCATTCAATATAATTTATTGTCCCCTTAGGGATTTCTTTTCTTGGGCTCAGTACACATGTAAGTGCTGTTGGTAAGATTCTTAAAAGAAATTAAATGCAAAGTGGACAACTTTAAAACCACATTGAACCTTAACACAGTTAAAGGGAATCATATTGCAAGAAAACAAGCATTTTAAACAAAGCACTAACTACATCAATGCACATCCTGACAGGCCACTTTGGGGAATATGGCTCAAGCTGTTTTCCTGTTCAACATTTTAATAAAAGTGAGAACAAATAGCAACTGACACTTTCACTGACACTTTACTTTACACTTTAATCGCTGTACTTCAATTAACACATATTTTTGTCTTCAATCTTTGAAATATCAATGAGGCTTGCAATTCAACTGATGTTTCATGTCACTTATCTTTTCAGATGTTCTCATTTACTCATTTTCAAGTGCTTTCAATGTGTACATCAATTGACATTGAACTAACTGAACTGGATTGTCAGTTTACATACTTTGGTTTCTACAGTTTCAATTGGAGTTTCTGTTGCTGGTGATGCTTCTATAGCAAATTGACAATTCGCTGCTGACAATGGCACACACTTCTATTGGAATTCCATTTAATGTCTACAACTGCTAATTTAGCTGATTCCAGTGATTATACTTCAGCTTCTTTCAATACTGACACTTAAACTGACACTTTAAACCCTTAAGTGCTTCAGGTTCAACTCATACACACTACCATGAGCAACAAATGAACATTAAGACAGTTAACCTGTTTACAAGTGCAACTTTCAGCACGAGAGAGTACACTTCAAAAATAACTTTCCTACTGTTTTCCCCAAAATTCACCTCGATATATTTGGTATCGTCACCCAAATTTAGATCATTCTGTGGGTTTGAATAATCATTGTTAACACGGCCAACAAAGCTCCCATTGCTTAGTTCATTTCAGCATGATAGTTTTTGTCTCTTTTCTAAAATGTTGTCAGTGGCAGTGATGCACATGAACAGCAACGTTTTTTTTCTTTGGAAAAAAGCCTTCAGT